TATTAGGTTATAAAAAATATATATTTAAAGTTTTATCTAAGTTAAATAATTATTTATTAAATTATATTAAAAAATATCAGTCCAAAAACTTTTGTAACATACTGTATATATATGAAAATTTATCAAAATTTTAAATATAAAATATATTAAATTATGACTAAGTTATCTATCAAATATTTGTATTTATATTGCCAAATATTATAATATTATAATTAAACTATTCACAAATATTTAACAAATATTTATATTTGATTTCATGCTAAGTGACATCAAACAATATAAATTTGACTTAAATTTAATTATAAAAATTTAAAAATTCAACAATAATTTGATATGCCGAATGCTCAAATTTCAACTAGTATTAATAAAACAAATTAAGAAAAAAATTTTCTAAATAAAAATAATACATAATAAATTCTAACTTTAAATAATATACAATTTTTTAAAATATACAAGAATTTAATTATTTATTTATATTATAAAAAAAAAAAAATTATTTAAATATTTTTTCTTATATTTTAATATTTTGAAAATTAAAAACCAAGTATTAATAAATAAATAGAAGAGACTCAAAAAAAAAAAGATTAAGACCTATAAACTAATATTTATGCTTTGTTATAAAAATAGTATATAAATAAGTTTTTTATAAAAAAAAATATTATAAATCTTTGTTTAGATCTTTTTAAAAAAAAATATATTATAGAATGGATATCAGTTATAAAAAAGATAAAAGTCAAAAATAGTAAAGCAAGATTTTTATTATGAAAATTATTAAGATTAGTTTGTAAATAAATTCAAAAGAAGATATGAAATAATAGATATTTTAAACTATAAGAATAAAAAAAAAATTAAAAATAAAAAAATATTAAAAAAACAACTGTACAAAAATCAAAAAAAAAAAAAATCAAAAATAAAGAAATTGAAAAAGCATAAAGCTAAAGATTTTATAAATCAAAAAGAAATTGTTAAAGAAGAATCAAATCAAAATCAAAACTAAAATTTAATAATAATTTGAAAATAAATTAAAAAAGAAAAAAAAAAATTAAAAATATAATATATAATTTAGATTTTGTTTAGCTGAACTGTAGTAATAAACTGCAAGCTAAAATCTTTATATTCAAATTTTATAAACAAATAGATGATAAAAAGAACAACTTTTTTTATTTTCAAAGTCATATCTAAAGATATATTCTAAAACAAATGTTTAAAACAATAGAAAAAATAATAATAAATAAACATATTATTTTTCTTGTAAAACTAAAATTAATCAATTTAATATAAAAAACAAACTTTACTATAGTTGTAAGAAAATTAATAATATATTTATAGGTAACAAGATTTTCACATGATTTCCGAATTGTCACGGAACTGAAAAAAAAAAAATCAACTTCGTCACAAACCTTTTAGCCGACCTTTAGTCGTGTGCCACTGATATCCTGTTTTCGTTTTAGGTTATAACCGTTAAGACGAAAGAAAAAAAAAGAAAATCATGTCTTCTACCCCAAACGTTCATTGTCCTGGCATTGATTATCTTGTGGTGATCGATTTCGAAGCTACTTGTGACGAGAATGCAACAAATCCGCAAGCCTTACAAGTGACAAAGGTATAAAAAAACACCAAATAATAAAAAATTTTTTTGCAATCTGGTGGCCTATATTTTCCAATTTTCTGGTTGGGTTCGGTTCTAGTGCGCGTTCTTGAGCCGCATCCTGACATATCTTCATTTTTTTTTTTTGTTCTCTTTGAGAAGTTACTACTTGTTTAATAAGATTTATTACCTGGTTTGTACACGTTGTTGGATTACTTTATTAGGAAACGGCAGAAATAATTGAATTTGCCTGGGTGATTGTTGATACCAATACACTGGAAGTGGTTTGTATTTTGTTCATTATATGTTGCTTCAGAGAGCTTATCTGAAAAAGAATGCCAACATGACATTTTATTTATCTATGTCAAGGTTTATCAACACACTCAATATGTTAAACCAGAAAATACACCGTTGACTGCTTTCTGTACTAACCTTACCAACATAACTTGGGACAAGCTTGAACAGGCGGGAACTTTGCAAAATGCTATTACTAATCTTGACGACTACATTAAATCTCACATCATAAGCCAAAATAAAACATTTTGCTTTTGCACACATGGTGCTTGGGACCTTCGAATCCAACTACCTCGAGAGGCGAGGGATAAACACATCGAGTTGCCTCCTTATTTAGCTCATTGTCGATTATTTGACTTAAAACAAGAATATCAGAGATGGCAAGTACATCATCAGGACGTGATATTAAAGAATCATTCTCTTGAAGAAATGTGCGAATCCTTTGATTTACAAGTAGCTGGACCAACACATACCGGATTAGGGGATTCGTTAACGATGGTCAACATTATTCGTTACTTTTGTTCATTTGGTCATCCTGATGTATTTGTTAATCCGATTGATACCAACGCGGATTTGAATCAGTTTAAAAAGGAGCAATCCAAAGTTATTCATCTGGCGGGCTTACCCTATGATGTTACGCAACCAGAGTTGGAAGCATGGTTTTCTGGTCAAGGGGTAAGACCTACATTATTATGGATGATTCGAACGCCCGATCACCAGAAGCCGAGTGGGTCGGGTTTTGGTATTTTCGCTACGCACGAGGATGCCATGGCTTGTTTGGATATGAACGGTAGAACTTTGGGAGATAGAGCCATCGAAGTAAGTCCAAGTAGCGAAAGGGTAATTGAGGCTGCGGGGGCTATTTTGGCATCGTTTCCGGTATGTGTATTGAGATGCGGCATTAAATTTATCTGCATGTTTCTGTTGCTCTTTTCTAGTTATAACGTCGGCAATGATTTCCAGAAGCTAACCCGAAGACTTGATCAATGATTCAAATTTCGAATCAACTTTGCAACATTTTTGAACCAATGAAAAGGTAACGAAAAGTCGTCATCGTCCTGGGGATTGGGTTTGCACTTCTTGTCAGTTCCATAATTTTGCTTCTCGAAGAACATGTTTCAAGTGTAATAGCAACAATCCAAATCCATCAATGGTTCCGCAGACACCACCAAATTTTACATTGGGTGATTGGATGTGTCCGAATCCTCAATGTAATTTTCATAATTATGCATCACGTACTCATTGTCTGCGATGTGGGACCTATAAGCCTCAAGGGATGTACGGTCCACCACAAACACCTTTTAGGCCTGGCGACTGGATTTGCCCAAATCCATCTTGTAGTTTTCAAAATTTTGCATCCAGAACTCACTGTATGCGATGTGGTACCTCAAATCACTTGGGATACGATGCGTTTGGAAATCCAGCAGGGGAACAAGGAGGTTACGGGACTGTGGTTCATGGGCCTTCATCACCGGCGCAGGCACCGTTTCGTCCAGGAGATTGGCATTGTCCGACTTGCAGCTCACACAACTTTGCTTCGAGGTTTCAATGCATTCGTTGCGGCCTGTCCAAGCCTCCGCAACTTTCAAGTAACGCGCCTCCTACTGCTAACATGAAACCTGGAGATTGGCTGTGTCGTAATGAGTTATGTGGATATCATAACTTTGCAAAAAGAACATATTGCGCCAAATGTGGTATGCCAAGCAATGCTGCTTCCTCTGGAGGCGAAAATGGGTATTAAATCATATTCCTATAACTCAGGAGTTTAAAGTTTCGATCGTATTGTGCATTGGTAAAAGTATATTAACGAACGAATGTATTTTTAAGCAAGTTGAAAAGAAAGGTTATTGTTAAAGTAAATAATTAGACGTCAAATAGTTAGTTTATTGTTCGGTAGTATATATTTTGTCTGTTTTTCTGCTAAAAATTCACATTTTTTTTATATTGTATATATTTCTATTGGAGGACCTTTTACTAGGTGCTACTATTTTTACGTTATTTTAATTTCTAGTCTTTTTAATATGGAATTTTCGGTTATTCTATTATATTATTCATGACCACGATTTTATTGGAAAGTAGACTGTTTTAATACCAAAATCAAGTACACGTAATGCATAAGAATTTGTCTAGGATGACAGAAAAAATATCACTAAAATTAGTAGACCACGTGCATTATTTAATTAGGTATTAATCTTGTGTGACATTTTTTTAACATATGTGCGCTCGTATGAACTATACAGCACATTTTACTTTATAAGTGTGACTAAGATAGGAACAGTTCGCGTCTAAAAAGATCTCTTTACATGGTTGTAAATGTCTTATTCGATTCCAACCCAGACAGGATCGGCCGCGATTCCTATAGTCGCACCTACGTCAGAGGACACCCCTAAAAATCTTTCAGCTAAAAGTTTGATTTGTTTTTCATAATGTTAATTCGACAAAATTGGTAGAGTCTTCGAATAAAATTATTGACCTTTTCAATTAGATTCTACTTTGAATTCTAAAACGAGGACCTGCAGAAATTTGATCATACATGGTTACTGCAAATATGAAGGAAAGGGTTGCGAATTTAATCACGATATGGTGTGTAATAGTAATTTCTGTTTACTTTAAACTCTAGTTTCGCGCCCTGGATCCTGAATTCGCCATTGCGAAATAAAATAATAAAACCTATGTATTTTTAGGGGAAGACGACTTCGCCTCCAAACAGCCCTGAAACGTAAGCGAACGCGTCTTCTTTTTAACTTGATTCTTCTATTTTAATCCCGATAATTTTAATTCCACACCATATTTTTAATATCAAGATCTAAAACCACCAAATTAAATGTCAATTCACCAGTTTTTAAGCCTGCAAGTCTTCTCTCATCGATTCCACCCGAGGTTGTTAATGCACCTCCATTTATTCCTAAAAATAACCAAGGTTTGTTCCGATATCATTTATTAAACGATGGTTATATTCTACTTTAACGACATTCTTTATTAGCCAACGTCATTGACGAGACTCCGGTCACTCCCACAAGTGTACCAGGTGAGTATTGTAAGATGTGACAATTAATCTATTTCAACTGATATCTGATAAGTTAATCCATTTAATTCTGACAAGGTTCACCCCGGCAGCAACTTTTTCATGAATCTAATGATCAAGAGTATGATGCGGCATATAATGAATATATAATATATACATTTTAAATAGTGAATAGATTATCAATTACTGATATTCATTTGATGATAGCGTCTCGTTATATGATCCCACCATTGGATTTTATCCAGCGCAGTCTTCTTCATCTAAAAAGCTTATAATTCCCTCTAGCAATGCTTCAAGTCATGGTTTGAATGCTCTTGCCAACTCATTCGCCTCATTGGGTTTGGATAACAACGTGAGATGTTTTTATGTGTTATTTGTTTATCATTTAATGATCTAACAATATTTTTTATATTAGTCATATCCGGAGACTACTTCTAGTCAAATGAATAATACGAACTTTTACTCGACATCGCATCAAGTAGATCCATTCTTGTATCCGACACAACAGGCATTATTGCCTCAACCAGTACGACAATTATAATGCACGTGGATGAATTCTCATGACTTTCTAAATTAGACTTACGTGTTGACCGGAAACGTATCACCCTTTTTTTTTTTTTTTTTTGTAGCTCCAATATCATCTTTACACTTCTCCTCTCCCGCACGTATCAAATCTTCATCCGCATCAAAAAACTATTCATGCATTTTTTATGTCAGATAATTTACGAGAAGAACTACAGCAGAAGAATGAAGAAACGTTAAGATCGATAAATGGTAAATATATCTTCGTTATCAATCGTTAAGCCTTATATTGAGATTTGATTTTTTTTTTCTATACATCTTAGCAAAGGATTTTAATTTACCCGAGGAACTTCACGTTTATCATTCGTTGTATCCACTCGATACACGTCAGGAAAAGTCGGTTAAAATTTTTGGATATCCAAGTTGGGTATACAAGTCTATCTGCAGTGTTGATGGACGGGTTTATAGTTTGAGACGCATTGAAGGTAAACTTTTTTATATATTTATGTTTATTAACCATATTGTTATAATTATCTGATGTCACGTTTAACATTATTTGGATTAGGTTTTCGGTTGACAAATGAAGTGGCGATGTCTACAATCAAAAATTGGCGAAAAGTTAGGCATGCAAATATAGTTTCAATACGTGAGGCATTTACCACAAAAGCTTTTGGAGATCATTGTGAGTGATGTACCAAAATTTGACGTGCACTCGGAAAGTTTACTTATTAATGTTTCTTCCATATGCAAGCACTTGTCTTTGTCTATGATTATCATCCACTATCGCAAACATTATTCGACAAACATTTCTCTTCAATGCAAATGTCCACACAACCCCATTCCAACATTTCTGAAACGACATTATGGAGTTATATTGTACAACTGGCATCTGCCCTCAAAACAATACATACATCGAACTTGGCTGCAAGAACGATTGAACCTACGAAGATTTTGCTCACTAGCAAAAATCGGTCAGTTAATTAAAGTCAGTTCTTTTTCTATACACATGCGTTAACTCATCCATCTTTTGTCTTGAAATAGAATACGAATAAATTGTTGTGGCATACTAGATATGCTTAATTTTGATGGTGGAAAAAATATCCCGCATTATCAGGTTCATCTCATTATATTCTAGGACAATGCGAAATTGGAAAAATACTGACAATCGCGATCGCTGTCAATTTTAGAATATGAATTCACAGCTCATTTTGCTAATAATCGTATTAATAATTTAATAGCAAGAAGACCTCTTGAACTTTGGACAATTAATTATTTCCCTTGCGTGTAATTCCCTGTCATCCGTCCACAATCTACCAAAATCGATCGAATTTGTTTCTCGTCAATATTCATCTGATCTCAAAAACGTTATACTGTATTTATTAAGCAAACCGTCCCCAATGAAATCTATTGATGATGTTGTGACAATGATTGGAACTAGAATATTGAGCGAGGTCAATAATGTTCATCAGTACGTGTTTTCTACTGTACGGGAAATCTGAGATTTGCTTGGTATAGTCATGGTCATGAGCTCATTATTTACTTTTCCACTATTATCTATTTTTAGCCATAATGACTTTTTGGAAAGTGAATTGAGTCAGGAATTAGAAAATGGAAGATTAGTACGTTTACTATGTAAATTCGGATTCATTAACGAACGCCCGGAGTAAGTGCTATCTATACACGTTGGGTTCACACTCAAGAAATCCTTTTGTCTATTATGCATCATAACCTTAACCTGAATGAAATTTTATTAATGCATGTAAAAATTATTTCTGTTACAGATTTGACATGGATCCAAGTTGGTCAGAAACCGGCGATAGATATTTAATCAAACTTTTTAGGGACTACGTGTTTCATCAGGTTGATGAACAAGGTTATCCCGTTGTTGATATGTCGCACGTTTTAATGTGCTTAAACAAGGTAACAAATTCGTGGATTGAATGATAATTGAAATTGACGAGATTAACATTTTCAAACCCTGATCAATGACAGTTGGATGCCGGTGTTGATGAAAGAATAACGCTGGTATCAAGAGATGAACAATCGTGTCTCATTGTGTCTTACAAGGATATAAAAAACTGTATCGACTCAGCATTTAGGGATCTCTCCAGAAGAAAATAATATAATCATGATTTCTTTCCATTAATATTCCTATATTAATATATTTTATTTCATATTCTTATAGTTAGAAATTAGAATTAATTTTTTTATAAACATTATTGTATATTTCATATTGCATAAAATCGATTTGTAAAAGAGGATGAGTCTATTAAAGAATGAAACTTCTAATTATTGAAATCGTATTGCTAATGAATTTTATATATTGCAATTGTTGTAAATGTTGTCAACGTCGACCACGTTTTGGAGGATTTACGCCGTTGCTAATTATGAATTGATCGCCGACGGCCTTTCGCTTAATGATAATTGTTTTATGAGTTCATGTTGAACATCGACTAAATAATAATCTTATAAAAAAGAAAATATTCACCTTTTTTTCTTCTTGCACTTGTGCCGGCGAAGAAACTTCCTCCTCCCCATGCTCTTTTTGTATAAGATTGATAAGCGTAGTACACCTTCTAGCGAGTTCCCCTGAAGTTCTTGATTTAATAAACCAATTAAATCGGAATAAATCAGAATTTTCAATTTCGCTTCGTATTTTTTCATAAACATCTTCAGTTCCGTATCCATGTTTTGCAAGAGCTATTAATAGATATCGATCTTCCTCTTCTGTAAATAATGTCTTGCCCTTTGCTTGATTAGAAACTTGCAACTGATGTCCAGGAGTTCGATATTGTGCGACCTTCGTTTTAAGTAATTCCTGTATTCCGTGCGTCTGTTCCAATTTGCTTTCTCCTTTTGTAATTTTGGCAACAATCTCTTCGTGATCTATTGTCATTGAAAAAAAAATATTGAACCTAAATCTTAAATAATGATAGTAATCATTAAAATTAAGATGTCTATCTTACTAGACAATTCTTGATATCGTTTCCAGAAAACTTGTGCATATGCCTTAACTTCTTCAAAAGTTTTGCCTTCTATCTCCGAAGCTATTTCTTCAAGTTGATTCCTGTAAAAATATATAGAAAATTAGTGGTAATCTTAATTAATTATAAAATCAAACCAATCTTACCTTCCATATTTTGCCGACGCATTGACAAAATTATTGAAATCGCGTTTACTCCAATCTTCAAAAATCTGATTGAACGTTACTTAACATGTCAGCGAGAATAAAGTGTATGCGTAAATAAATATTCACAGGATATTGAATAACTAACGTTTTCCATTAAATCATCCTTCTCTGCTTCTTCTTCTTCTGTCAAAGCTTCGGCTACATAATAATAGCATTAGGTTTGTATAGAGATTAAAAAAACAAATACAAAGAAATAAATAATAATACCATTATCAATTTTATCTTGTTCATCTTGGCGTTCCTGTTCCCGTAATTCTAGATCATCGGTATTTTCACCTTGAGGTTCAGCCAATGCAACCTTGTACCCCGCTAATTTCTATTCAAAAAGTTAATGAACAATCAGAAAAATAAATATTTCATAAAATAGACGAATACAAAATTATAATACTAACTTGCTGATAATACATTTCCTTTTTTAATAATTCAATTAAACGTGGTGGGTAGAATTGAAATTCATTACTAAAACAAATGTTGTAAAATCAGCTCAAAGCGTCAAATTATATTATCATACTATTCAGAAATACAAACATAGTAATTTGTTTTGGTGCTCGCGGCGTTTTAGGTTGAGTTGGTTTCGCAGTAACTCGTAATGCCTCTCGATAATAAGAGTCGACTGCATAATTCACCTTACGTTCACGTTTTGGGGGTTCGATCCAATTAAATCTGGAGCCATGATCTTTACGCTGTAATTATAATTCACTAAAGTCAATATATAGGTAAAACTCTACCTTTCAAATCTTACTAATTATCTACCTTATTACTCCAATCCTCTCCTTGCCATTGATAGGCTGATTCTGAAGTAAAGTTCTGTAAATCATCTAAACCGAGACTCTGATATTTCTTATTAAGTTCTGCCGTTTTCTCTTCGCCTTTGCGGAGGATTAGGTCAATGTCATCCTCAGTTACAGTACTGATAATAAAGTCATGATCATTTCATCAGAAACTTCAAATAAAAGATTATTGTAGATAATCGTAAATATATAATATCCTTTACCTATCGCTGGAATTAAAGATACTTTCAGCACCGTGTTGAATCATAGTTAAAAGTTCTTCTTTACTGGCAGCTGGTTATAGAAATATCACATAAATCATATGATAAAAGCTCTTCGTATGTACAAAACTACTAAAACAACAATACCTTTTTGTGATTGTACTAAACGACCTTGTTGAATAACAAGCTGATCCAAGCGTAATTTTTGCGCAGCTCTCTCTAGAACCTTTTCTTCAATAGCATTCTAGATATCGGAATTCAAAAAATATTGTCACAATGCATTATAATGTGCATCAAAATTCTTAATCCTTACCTCTGTGACAAATCGAAAAACATAAACTTGCTTCGTCTGACCAATACGATGTGCGCGGTCCTGTGCTTGTAAATCTACTTGCGGATTCCTAAATTAAAGAAGTTAAAACAAATACTGTAAGCAGAAAAAATAATATCACTTTACATTCCTTACCAATCGCTGTCATAAAGTATTACAATATCCGCAGTAGTAAGATTGATTCCAAGACCTCCAGCACGTGTAGTAAGCAAAAAAACAAATTTTGTGCTATCTGGCGCATTGTAATCATCAATTGCAGTTATACGGTCTTCTTGTTTAGTCTGCCCGTCAATACGACAATATTCTAGAAAAATACATATCTGAATTAGAATTTTAAAAACATGCAAAGTACCGTTAATAAATTTGCCCATACCGAACTCCCGAAATATGCAATAATCCTCCAGTATATCAAGTACACGGCTCATTTGACTAAATAAGAGGACGCGCGATCCTTGGGCTTTCAGACGTTTAAGTAATCTGTCCAGTACTACCATTTTACCTGCATATAGAAAAAATTAGGATGTTATTCAACACAAATAAATATAATTGATTCTGCAAAGAACTCGCCTGCATTGTCTACAATATGCTCATCGGTAGTATAAGGTGGACCAGGCTCCTGTAATAAAAACAATGATTTATAACATACATCATTTGTAAAAGTATAAAAATTATATATATACAAAGACTTACTGCACCGTCAAAAAGATAAGGATGATTGCAACATTTCCTTAATTGCATAACTATATTCAGCAAACGAGTTTTGCTTTCACTTTTGCTCACAGCACCTACACATAAGTGTAAATGTACATTAAGAAATGCTAATATGATATAAGAAGCTGACCAGATAAATAATTTACCGTTAACAGCTGCAATGTCTTTTTCCAGAATTCTTTGATACCATTTTCGTTGCATAGATGTCATACCAACATACAAGTTAATCTCCTTCTTAGGCAGCAATGACT